GACCCGAGATCCGCGCACCCGACCTGACGACCCGTTTCTTCTTCAGCCATTGACCAGTCTGACTGGACCGAAACTGAACCCCCCAGACTGAATCGAACCGGTACTGAACCGTTGAATCGCCTAGACCGAGCTGAACCGCCTGATCGAACCGTCGAACCGAACCTCGCGTTGACCGAACCGTTGACCGATCCGGTTCAGGTAAAAAAAATTTTTTTTGAATTTTTCTTATTTTTTATATATTATTTTATTAATATTTATGCATATTAAAATATTTATATTTGTTAGATTAAATGATGAAATTGTGGTTAAATTTTTTTATATAATTATGTTACTTTTTAAAATAAACTTAAAAAACAATAATATCAAAATAAACTTAATAATAATACTAAAGTAATAAAAAATGTAGGAAAAGAAAATTTTTATCCGACAATGAGATTTAAAGGTATTCCGAGTAGTGATGCCTACGAAATCTCTAGGTGAGAAGATTTTTTTAAATATTACTAGTGTATTGGAGTATTTATAAAAAAAATTTCAATACAGTAAAGATTTTTTTTTAAATAATAAATAAAAATTGGTTAATAAATTAAAAATAAGTAATAAAAATGAGAAGAAAAGAAATTTAATCCAATGATGGGATTCTAAAAGTATTTCGAGTAGAGATGCTTTAAGAAATCTCTAAGTGAGAAGATTTTTTATAAAATATTACCAGCGTATTGAAATATTTATAGAAAATCTTCAATATAATTAAATTCATTTTTCTTCAAAATTTCAATAAGAATATCAATAAAATAATTAATAAAATTTCTAACAAAATAGAGTAAAATGTGTGCATAAACATGGTAATATTTTGTATTGCATACATGATATTTTTTTCGAAAAGTAAATTTGAGCCTCCGAGGATGAGATTTTAAGATATTCCGAGAAGTGATGCCTAAGAAATCTCTAGGTGAGAAAAAGTTCTTCTAATGTTACCAACGTACTGGAACATTTTAAGAATTATTTCAATAAAAAAGTTTTAATTTATTTTTCTCGAGAATAAAATTTTTTTTTAATAAATAAAAAATCAAGAGAATTATTTTTTCAAACATCGAAAATTGGATTATTTTTATCAAAATCAAAGGATAACACGTTGTTAATTGGTACCGTTTTTTTTACGGACGTTGTGGGGGTGCTAATCATTTTCCACACGTAATCGACTTCCGAACCCAGACTGTTTCGTAGATTGAAAAATTATCTTTTTTAATAAATTTTAAAACTTTATTAAAAGGATATGTTTTAATAGGTGACCAATCACACCTAATAAAAAAAGATTGATAGCGACTCTATTTTTTTTATTTCGTTTTTAAATTCATCGGACAGACACAAAACCGTTACGACATTGATGAAAAATTTCATCGGTGATGTCAATATTTCTGGTAGTGTGACTAAGGTGCTTAGCTAGCTAGTATGGACCCAAGCAAGTTCAGCAGCAAAGGAAAGAAGGTTCTTGACCTGAGTAACAGTAGCAATTTTACAGGGCCTCTCTTTGAAGATGCTAATTGGACAGATCAGATTTAAGTTAGATCATCCCTTGTAGGATTATTTTGGATTGAAAGAAATTTAAATTATTTTAAATTCAATTCTTTTGAATTATGCATGTTCATATTATTTTAGATTCACATTATTAAAATTAGAAATCCAATCAATTTCATTTTCAATCATTTCATATTTAAATTAATTCAAATTTAAATTATTAATTTTCTTAATCAAATCGTGTTGAGTTGAGTTTAATATTTTTATTCGAATCAATTTTGATAGCTTATGCCAAAAAAATGAAATTGTTTACAATTTCCTTTCTTTTTAGTAGGTGAGGTTGATGATCAAATAATGAAATATTTAGGTTCATATATAGTTCCCAAATCTTGAGGTGGTTTGCTGTCTCATCAATGGGGACAGTTCCATTATTGTTGAACTTGATCTCTCAAATGGGGGGATCACTTCCTTGATTTTTGCCAAACTCCAAAACAATGAAGCTGATTTGGTGGTTAACATGGTTTTATCATTTAAATATACGATCCTAAAGCTCTAATGGTGCCACCTACTTAATTAAAAATGCAATTAGTAAGGAAGAAAAGAAAAACAAATAACCACTCCAAATTATCTGGAGACAGTTTATTGTTGACTCTGGAAGTGCCATTTTTTTTTTTTTGAAGAAAGAATCCTCTGAATATTCTTTTAAGATCCTCACTATTCAATCTATTATATAAGTATTAATTTTGAAACTTGATTCTTGAGCTGGATTGATGGACTTATTAATGTTTCCGAATGATGCTTTGGCATTGCTTTGTTACATATAAATTAATTATTTTTAAGAAAAAAATAAAAAAGAATTAAAGAATGCTATAAAATTTTTTTGACATAAAAAAAGTTGAAGTGTTCACGGACCCAACTAGATTCCATTGTCTTTTGAGAGTTCTCGTTCAAGACCGAACCTATCCAGATAAATAAATTTAAAATTTTTAAAATATATTAAAATATATAAAAAAAAAACTAAAATATTAAACTATTAATACTTTTAAATATATTTTAAAATTAAAATTAACCCTCATCTAATGTATATACATACTACTTAATTTTGGTAAGTTGATGGATTTTCTTTCTCTGTACTTATAAGTTTTATTTATTTTATTTATTTATTTTATTTTCATTGAAAATTATACATGTAATTGCATAATAAAAAATGAAAATAATAAATTGAATATTATTAAAAGAAAGGAGGGGTAGGGTGGTTTGTGAGGATGGATGGGCATGACAAAAGAACAAAATAACAAAAGAACAAAAGAACAAATCTCTTTCATTCAAGTATTCATTTGTCAATTTGGGTGGTGGGGGGTTTATTCTTTCATGTTTTATGCTTGAATTAGTAAATGAAATGTACTTTGTGGGTTATGTCCATAATTAAAACTTCATCAACCATTCATACAATAAGATATGCATAACAAAATGTTTTGTATAAAACAAAAAGATTCGCCAATCATTTTGACGGCACAATATTTAATTGTTAGCAAACTTTGATATCATTTATAAATACTTATGATTATTGAACAATTTGTCACTGTAATGAATTTTTTCAGCCGGCTTTCATTAACAAATTATTAGTATAATATAGTAACTTTTCCCAAAATGAAATATAGAAAGGCTAGAAATTACACATCTTCCTTTCTTGAGCCGTACCCTTAATTAATTACTTGAATCTTGCCATTATCACACCAAACAAATTAATCACCATGATCTAATCAATCATTGATCTTCAAAGTACAGCTGCATCTGAATAATCAGCCATCTTCAAAAAAAAAAAAAAAAAAAAACCCTTTCTCATGCATGTTCCAAAGCAGAAGCTAGCTTCCAAAGGCCCAAAAATAAGTAGTTTGGTAAGGTGTACTATCAAGGAGAGATTAAATTTGAATTCAATTTTGAATTTAGTTTATTCATATAATTTTTTTAAAGAGATGGTATCAATATACCTAAAGTTCAAATTTCCCTTGTCTGTGAATTACAGCCTCCTTTGCTTAAGAAAAAAAAATACAATTTCTTCCCTTTGGGCGGTGCCATTTGCCTCTGGATAATAAGAGCTTGTGCTTTTGCATCACCTCATGATCAAGTGGTTTTCTTGTTGAAGATTTTATGTGACTTTAAGCATCTAGGCCTACTCTTTGATAAATTGTTGGTATTTCCATTATTAAGATAGTATTTCTCCAAAATTTTGTACTAGAAAAAATGGCCCATTTCTGCTGCAACTACCAGCCACCATGATCAAATATCCCTGTATAATAATTCTGCGTCCTGGCTGTTGTGTTGTTGGGCAATCATTTGAATTGAAACCACTAACAAAACCCACGATTGATTGGAGACCTTTTTGAGTGCTTCTTCATTATAATTTATCTGCTGTTCAAAAAAAAAACAAAGTTGAAAGACCGAAAAGCTAACAATCAAAGGTTGAATCACAATAATATGGTAGAGGTTTTGATTAGTGTATATAAAGACTTGTTCAAAATGGAATGAAAAAAGGCAAGAGTTTTCTAACTGACACTCCTAAAAAACAAAGTGTTGGTGCCCCTTTTGAAATTTGATTATCTTCAAGTTGGAATTACTTCATTTCTTTTGCATAAAGATTCAATTCTTGTTAGGGAAATCTTCCAATTGGAGGTTGGGTTGTAATCCGAAGATGATAGTTATCCATGATTCTACTAATATGATTGGTTGCCACAAAATTATTGTTGCTTGGAACGATTGTGATCAATGATGTCATGCTTATGCGTAATGATCAGAAAATGTGCACACGTTAGAGATTTAAAAAATTGTGAACAGTTGCCTGAGTGAATTACTGGTAGATGTTAAATTTTTTTATTGATCAGATTTAAATCTAAACAGATTCAAATATTAAAAATTTTTCTTTACAAGAAAATGAGGCAAATGAAACACTATTTTGTTATCATCTTTGGTGGCAAAATGAAGAAATGAAAGAGGAGAGATAAAGAAGATGATAGGAAAGCATGGCCAAGCCAATAAAAAGAAACCATACTTTGCGCCTAAGTTGGTGAATGAGTTTTAAAATCTCAAAAAAAAAAAAAAAAAAAAAAGAGACGGATATTTGAGATAGAGCAAAAGAGATTTGTTGACATTGGAAAGACATCACCATAATGTGAATGAACATATTGGGCCGAACTTGGTGAATGAGTTTTGAAACCCCTAATTTTCTTTCACTCGTATCTTGACATTTTCTTCTCTTCTACAAACGAATGGCTTGGCCTTCACCTAAAAGGCTATTTCCCCATCTTTTCAGAGCAATTTGCCAGCCTTCCTGTTTCAAGAATGTCAAAACTGGGGAATTTTCCTTGAGCAGTGTTTGTGAGTACCTTCAGACCTTGCGAAAATGGCAGAATATTCTAAGGACATGATTAAGTCGAATACTTCAGCATATATAAAAAAAAATTTCTGACTCTATTAAAACGTGCAGTAACTTGCTAGCACAAGAGAAGCCAGGCCTGCATTTTCTGCAACTGTAACCTTACCATCTTCAACAATCATAATTATCAGCGAAAAAGAATCCAATCTCACTACAAGAATGAAGACTGTGATTGGAAGCTACAAAAGTCTCGACTTATCCCTCGATTTTAAAAAAAAATTAGCCTTTATAGCTTATGTTCGATAGTAAATCTTGGTTCAGATGCAGCCCTTCCCGTACAAGTACCAGAGAATGATCATCAAGATCTACGTGTATGGTAGTTTAGTACCCATAACCTGATCACAACAAGCAAAGCAATTCGTTAACCAACCATTTGAACAAAAACTTAATGTTGATGGTCAAAAGCGTCGAAGTTGAGCTGTGAATCAACAGTAAAAACCTGAATTATCCATAGGGTTTCCACCAGCTACAGGTTCAGGTTCCTTGATGTCAACAACCACAGCATCTGAAGTGAGGAATGTCCTTGCAACAGAAGCTGCATGCTCCAAGCAACATCTTACCACCTATGTTTGAGAACCACAAGGTAACTTGATAATCGCCAAAATAAGAAGTATGGCAAAGAAAAGATCAAAAGAAAACAGAGAGCATGTTTCCCAGCAATTTAGTAAAATCAATTTTTTCGGCCAAAATTAAAATAACTTAATCTGTGCTAAATCTGAACAACATGGTCAAACGATGTCGAACCATTTTATTACATTCAAAAAGTGCAACAGATGCACAACATTGACTGGGAAGGGTAAATAGAATACATCTGATATGATGTGAATGGAGTTCATTGTTTGATAACTAGCAAGCCTAGGAAATTGAGAAAGTTCCTTAATTTAGTTTTGACCTGAGTTCAGAGATCCAAAGAGCATGCCAAGTTTCTGTTCTCAATGTCTTAAGTTAGCAGATGATGAGATCAGCCCACTTTTCATGCAATACACGTACACAAGGCCAATGACTAAATCAGCCTAATTTCCGCCTAATGAGAGTATTATTTATGTGTGTGTATGTGTTTATAACAGTAAACAGTATCTAACATACTGTGCCTTCTGAATAATTACACTTAACAATACATTTTATAGGAGTTTTTTTTAATTTAATTTTTTTTTTAAAAATCATGGTTTTACATGGCTAAATACAGTGGGAATATTGGAAGAGAAATGATAAAAAGGAAGATAGAGACATCATCAATTAAATTGTTCCAGATAAGATTCCCAAATTAACAAATATGGCATAAGAGGAACATTCATGCAGCTTAATTATATGCTTATAGCCTATGTATGAACCAAGGTACTCTCAGCATTCATGTGAATAATTCACCTTTTTCTCTTCTGAAAAGGAGAATAATGAAAGAACAGTCTCAAGAGATAGTGAAACTCACTTTTGTAGGATCAATAATACCAGCTGCCATCAGATCCTCATATTTTCCAGTTGCAGCATTATAACCATAGTTAGGGTTGTCAGTGGACAGCACCTAATGGCCAAAATGAAAATGGATGAACATAATGAGATTAATAACTAGAGAATAACTAAATATGAACAGAAATGATCCATTACAATTGTATACCTTTTCAATGACAACACTCCCATTGACCCCAGCATTCTTGGCAATCAACTTCATTGGATAGCTTAGTGCCCTTTTAACAATATCTGCTCCAACCTGCCAACAATTAGTAGGTCAGACAAAATGTGTCATTGTATATGATAAAAAAATCTGCAGTCCAATAGACAAGTAAAAATTTAAGACATGCATCACCTTCTGTTCATCATTGTCAAGAGTCTGTCTTATAGCATCAACTTTAGCTGCAAGCCTCAATAAGGTACAGCCTCCACCAACTACAATGCCTTCCTCAACAGCTGCCTGAAAAAAATTTAATATTTTAAAACCACTTAGGGCATCAATTTAAGGATGACAAGAGGTGTTAGAAAATAAAAGTTTAAAGTACAATATCTAGCACAACTTTCATAAAAAATCTCAAGCAATAAACCTTTGTTGCATTAAGAGCATCTTCCACTCTTAATTTCTTTTCTTTAAGTTCTGTTTCTGTTTGTGCTCCAACCTAGAAACACAAGGAATAAATTAAATAACAAAGAAAAAGAAGATAATAAACTATATATTTAAAAATATCATTAAGACTGCATTAAGCAAGGCCAAGGTTTACCTGAATGACAGCAACCCCACCAGAGAGTTTTGCAATTCGTTCATTGAGCTTTTCTTTTTCATAATCCTGCTCTGTTGCCTGTATATGCAATACATTCATCACTAAAGAGAACACAACAGATAAAGATAGTGCTAGGAGGGGAAAATGGATTCAATGGAAGTACCTCAACAAGGTTCTTGATCTGGGTAACTCTCTTATTCACTGCTTCCTGTGTGGTTCCATCACCAACAATTGTAGTTGTCTCCTTAGTGAGCACCACTTTGGCAGCTTGTCCCAAGACCTCCTTCTCAGCTTTTTCCAATGATAACCCAACCTCATCTCTTATCACAGTACCTAAATATAAGTTACGATAAGTTTTAACAAGAGAACATTGAGCAGATACAACTTATGTAGCTATTTTCATGAGATAACACACAAACCTCCAGTGAGGATAGCAATATCATCAAGATATTGACTTTTACGCTCCCCAAAACCAGGGGCTTTCAGAGCAGCAATCTTAAGTGCCCCTCTGAGCTTGTTCACAACAAGAGTAGCAAGAGCTTCCTGCTCAATGTCTTCTGCAATTATTACAATTGGGTAACCCCCTTTAATAGCATCTTCCAAAACATGGATGAGATCTCTTGCATTTGTTATCTTTTTGTCAACCAGTAGTAACTGCACAAAAAAGCTTTCAGAAGTCAGTGACTTCTCAAAATAGACACCCTCGATGGAGAATAACATCTTGCTAGGAAGTTGATCGACGAAACTTGCCAAATACCTTACAATTTTCATATTCAACAGCCATTTTCTCACTGTCTGTAACAAAGTAAGGAGAGATATAACCACGGTCAAATTGCATCCCTTCAACAACATACATGCTATTTTCTGAGCTGCTGCCTTCTTCCAAAGTCACTATGCCTTTTCTTCCCACTTTACCCATAGCTTCAGCAATCATATTGCCAACTTCATAGTTGTTTCCTGCACTAACAGCAGCCACATCTGCCAGTTCACTGTCTTCAACCTGCAGACCAACACCAATGGTAAAATTTGCCTCCCAGAAGTACAACATAAAAGTTTCTAAGTTATAACTCCATTTAGAAGGTAAAATTAGGTTGGAACTTTGTGAATCAAGGTAGAATGATGAACATCCTGGTTTACCTCCTTTGACATCAACTTAAGTTCAGACACCAGGGCTTTAGTAGTGATTTCAATACCTCTTGTAATTTGAACAGGATTTGCACCAGCTGCAACCACCTGGAAAGAATAACCAAAAATACCAAAAAGCAATATAAGCATAGATAAGATATTCAATTTTCTGATGAGATCATTGTTATGAAGTTCTCACAGACCTTAACACCTTCGGTTATCAAACCTTGTGCAAGAACAACTGATGTGGTAGTTCCATCACCAGCCAAATCATTGGTCTTTGAAGCAGCCTGTCTCACCAATCTAGCACCAATGTTCTCCACAGGATCCTCCAACTCAACCTATAAAAAGGAAATGAAAAATCATAAATAAAAAAAGCAGCTCATAAGAAAAAAAAAGGGGGGGGGGGACGGCAAATGTTCCAGTCAAACCAGAGAAAAGAAAAAAAAAAAAGCATAAACAAAGAAGTATAGATATAAACCAAAAAATTAGTTCTGCCAAATCTGAAACAAAAAGATAAAAAGATAAAAAAAAAAAAAGATCAATACATCTAGAAAAATCATTTATCATTAGCAGAAGTCAAGACTTTGACAAACGCAGTCAAAATAAGAATAACATGCAAGATAAATAATTTATTGCTATTTATTTGCCATTTATTACATCCATGTATCAAACACTACCAATAAAAGTATTCACTGAACAAAGGTAACCATACCTCCTTAGCAACAGTTACACCATCATTAACAATTTTTGGGGAGCCATACTTGCTCTCTAAAACTACATTTCTCCCTTTTGGGCCAAGAGTAACACCAACTAGGTCTGCAAGCTTGTTAACACCCGTCTGAAAAGGAAAAGTGGCAAGGGTATATCAACAAAATTGCCAAAGGACATCAGACTAAACAAACCATTCACTGTCAACTCACTTGCAGCTTCTTGATAGCAGAACCATCCTTGTTGAAATGTAACTCCTTGGCCATTGCCCAAAATTTGGAAGAGCACCCTCTTTGTAAAATCACATTCTGTTTCCTGCCTCCAAAGGCACTTGAGGAGATAGAATCAAATGATGCTAGTCGACCTGAAGAACTCAAAAACTTTTTGTCCATTGTCCTACTGTAGGGAAGTACTGGAGAGCCAATGGATGACGCAACAATGAAAGATGATGTCATTTTCTTTCAAGATCCTGAAACATTAGACAAAACACAAGACATATAAATCCAAGTAATGGCCACCTAAAATAGATAAAGCAAAGAAAGCATGTGTTAAACTCATAAGCTTCAAGTTCCTAAAAGAAAGGTTAACCTAGATATCCTTGAGAAAATAGATATAATCTATGTCCCACGTTAAGGATATGAAATAGCTCCATCATGTTTTGAGCAAGTCAGAGTTGACATAATCACCAAAATCACTGAGAGTGATAGCTATAGAAGTTTGATGTGGCTATTCTAGAGGATCTCAAGCTTAGCCAACATTATTTTGATAGGTCATTTAAATACAAACAACATGGACTGCTTTTGGAACAATGACAGAGATATAGACAAGTTAATATACTCATGAAGGGAATTCAATAAATACTTTCTTGAAACATATATTAGTTAGTTTCTTGCAGAAAGTTTCACATTCTAACTACTAATAGGCTGTAGAAAATATATGAAATTTTAAAAAAATATTTCAAATCTTTAGCAGCCTTGTGTTGCAACAATTTTTCAAATTCTTTACTCTCAGTAAATAATGCAGAGTCAAAAGCAAACTTCTCAACAACAATCAAAACCCAATTCACAACAGAAAATAACTTTTCCAATTCAAAAGTTCAGTAACCATATCTGAACCCATTTACCAGAAAATATAAAATTTGAATCCTAAAATCAAAATTTTTAGTTTTTATCCCTACAACAGCCAAAAGCGAAATCATCTTTCTGTAGTTGAGGCTGCCAGGATTTAATCCCTATCACTAGAATTAAGAGTCTCATGATCTAGCAACAGACCACTGTTAGCCAAAAACAAAAAGGAAAAAATATCATTTTTGGTTATCCCAGAAAACTTACAAGACAAAAAATATATATTAATGGGAAAAAAAGAAATTCTTTAATATATTATTTTACCGATATAAACCCATATATAAAAATAAAAAATAAATCCAGAAAGCTAATACAAAAGCTTGTCCTACTTCAAATGCAGTTTCCATCATTCATAAAGCAAAACAATAGTTAACATCATATAAACTACAAATTTTGTCTTCTCTTCATTTCCTTACATTTTCTCAACATTGAGGAAACAAAAAGAGAAACGCAAAGAAGCAACATTTACAAAAGAATGGGAAGTGGGAAAGGTTACCTGAAAACGGCGGTTGATGGTTTGATGGATATAGGGTTTTGAAAGGGCTTCTAATGATAAGGAAGACAACACAAGCGACAGAGCAAAAATGCGGAGACCCCGAGGAGTAAGTGAGGAGATAAAGATTTTATTATAGACAAGGGGTTTTGATATATGAGTGATAGTGTACAAGTTTTAAGGTAGTCCTGATTGTTTGGAATCAAGCTGGACCGTCGATGTGGATGACATTTTTGTCCTTTTCCGTGGACTTGGGCCATGTTTTACGCTCTCGAGGCCCAGCCTTATTCAGGCCAACTTAAATTAAGTTTCATATTTTCTATTTAAATTTAATTATAAAAAAATAAAATAGTATATGTCAGTTAAAAAAAAAATGATATTTTACGATTTTTATATTGAAATTTTTAGGCAAAATTTTTAACTTCAAGCCACAGCATTGAATTGGATTTTAGCATCATATTCTAAACTTGATTTGGCAGCTAATAGAAATACTCGTACAAAAGAAAGTTTTATAATTAAATTTTTATATTTTTAAAATCCAATAATAAATGGCAGTGCGATGGAATTATTCCATTAACTCCCAAATATAGATTAATGCTGCGACCCAAACTGTGCAGTGACCTTAAATTTAAATGCAACTAGATTTGGAGTCCACACTGGAACACAAACTCATGCTTTTGGCTTAGAATAAAGCTCAGAAGTGCAACGAAATGGATGCCAAATTCCTTGAAGCAATTGCAGGAAATGATAGGCTTCGGCTTTAAGCATATGGTTCCGACAAACAGTGGCTTTGTCATATTCATGGACCCTCATTTTTGCCACTGGATCGCCCTGATAAGTCCCTTCCTTGTTCCTTAGGACCTATAAATAGCCAGACTCCTAGAATAAGAGTCTTGATATCCTAATGTTTCAAAATGAACTGAAACTTCCACAACATAGTATTGAATGATTATTTTATTACAAAATCAAAATTTTCTTTTGTATGTTTTTTTTGCTGTAAAAGTGAACCCTCAACAAATCAGTATGAAGAAGACTTGTTAAAAACAAAATTCAAATAGAAATGCAACTACCATTAGCAATAGCAACATCAGAATAATCCTGACACAAAGAATTGCAACAGTTGGAATCTGTCACAGAAGAAAGAAGAACAAAAAGACTTAAACAAAGCAAAGAAATGGGTTATTGATTGTGCACATCATACCAAAGTTACCACTGCGACAATAAGAGCCACAAAGACTGAACTAAGTGTCACTGCAACTACTAATCCTGAACTAGGATGTGGCCCTGGTGCAAGGCCAACTTCAGGTGGTGTTTCAATGGAAAGTGGAGATTCTGCTCTTTGGTGCAAACCCATCACCCGGATGAACAATTTCTGACCCTTCGTGCAGTGATCGGGGGCTCCGCTGATGAAGTAGAAGAGTCCAGGCCTATCAAGATTGATAACAGTCTTGCCATCGTTAAAGGAAGAGATGGGCTTGTTTGTGTTGCAATGATAGTAATCCCATTTCTCCACCACAAGGACTGAATCATTCTGATACTAAAAGCTACACCAGAGAGAAGAATAACTAAATATCAGTGAAAAAATGATCAATAAATTCTTCAAAAATGTTGTTAATGGCTGTAACTAAGCAATTGGTGTAAGAAACTCACAAAGAGAGTCTCCAATACGAAACCTTTTACTCGTAGCCCGCTGGCTATAGACCGCAGTGTTGTTAGCGCTAGGCTGCTGCCAACCTATATGATCACCCACTTTGAAGTGCTTGCAAGCTTCAACTGAGCCATTCATGGCAGCTAGAATGAGAAAACAAGTGCAAAAAATCAAACCCCTGAAAAGTTCCATATTTGATCAGTTGTTAACTCATTTTCTATTAGAAAGGTTCAGATTTCAGAGTAGTAAATGATGGTAAGAAAAGATATATGGCGCAATTTAGGAAAGGATTTGAAGGAAGAATTAATAGTTATATAAGTTGGTTGCACTTTGAAGTATGAGCTTGGCGGGCTGGGTATCAAGAAAGTGAGAGACAGGAGTGGCGGACAGTTACGCAGATCGTGCGTGCTTGCGTTTCTTTTGAAGATTGACGTGGGTTGAATTTCTCACATCTTGACAGGGGCTCCATTGCACTGAACTTTGAAAAAAAATAGTACAGACATGTAAGAGTAATTTTTTTGTTTTTCTTCATATTGATCAAAGAAAATTGCAACAAAATTCTAAAACTAGATAATTTTACTGAAACTAATATCAAAATACCGTACAATTTACACGTATGAAATATGTGTATGTAGTATTGTCCTCCACAACCCAATCATGTACCCTTCTTCTCTGCCTATAGGCTACATCTCAAAAAGAGATTACCTGAAGGATGACTGTTTGTTTATGCAGTACTGCTCCCTGCAATCTCCACTTTCTGGTTCAGCATCATTTCTTGGAACTGAGCTCGCTTGGCAACCCTAATGTCAACTATACTGGGTGGCATTGCCTTGAGTGAGCCATGTAAGTCAACAAGACCAAAGAATTCTTGTTAAACTTTTTTTTCTCAACCAGTTTAGCAGCCACAGCATCGATGAGTTTTTGGTTTTGCTGCAAGATCTGATATAAAAAAAATAACAAATGAAATAAATAATGGATCATATAGATAGGATGTTAAAAGTAGCCACTAATAAGTGCTACTTTTACAAGCAAATGGAATACCTCTTTTGCTCGCTCATAGCACATGTTCAAAATCCACAACGTCTCCGAATCTATTTCCTGATATTCACAATGTATCCATACATCAGATAACAAGAATAGAGAAGCTTAGAGAAGCAGTTCACAAAATTTCCAATGGAATGTGCCATTTCTTGCATTTCAACTCAGCTTCAATTTGCAGCCACCAGAGACTAACGAAATTATTCTTCACCTTATGCTTCTCAAAATTCTTTTTACTATAGAGATGCACTAGATGAATTTTTTGAAGTAAAAAAGATGAACTCAATACTTCAATTTTAGAAAATTTATGACAACTGGAAGTAGGCTGTCGGCCAGAAAGTACCAAAAACATCCTTTTCATGAAACAAGTAGAAAGAAATAAGGATGTATCCTTACATTAATTCGATGTGCAACCCAGAAGTTAGAAAACCCATGATGTTTCTAAGAGAGACCACCAAGAACAAACATCCTTGCTGCTGACATAGCATTGTCTGCAGTTTCAGCCCATATTGTACTCAACTGAAATCATCAAGGATATTACAAGTGGATCAAGTTAATCAACTGAATATGAGATGAAAGAAAATTTTATGATTTCAACAATCTAGCTCCTACTAATGAGAAACATTGATCTACAGCAAGAAGCTTTTTCTTAAAATTTTTTACAAAAGAAAAAAAATACGTTAGAAAAATTAATATTGCCAAACCAAAATTCAAAATAAAATATTGGGCATCAAGGCAATCAATCACTATCCTATATGCATCCATGAATCTCACTTAAAATTTGAATTCAATTTTCTCAGCATCAGAAATTACTATCGGCTTTATCTTAACTCATAAAGCTTTAGGGTTAGTCACCATAAGATGATAATAGCAATAAGGGTCAACATATTGGTGGACTCCATAAGCATTCATGACCAAGTGAACATATGTGACACCAACACACATTGAAATAAAGTATTCAATGACCATAGGAACAAACTTGACTTATTGTAGAACAAATTAAGAAAAACCCATCAACCTTTACCGGTACACTAAAAACCCAACTTAAAACACTTCAAAATAAAATGAAAAAACAACTCCCTCAGCCCCATAATTATTAGCTTACTCCAAAACCAAAAACTTTGAAGAACTCCCCTTTCTCCCCAAAATGACCTTCAGAAAGACTTTTTTCAGAAAACCCAAAAACTACAGGAGGCTATTAATGACATATGAAGGTTAATCAATTAAACTTGCCATTTTAAGCAGTAGTTTGCTCATTGTTAGACTTGCAATTTTTTAAGCTCATATTCACTTGATAGGAGAATTCACCATTTAGGGGACTCAATAATGAGGGACTTCCATATAATCTTCCCTGTTTCTAATAACTATTTCTCATCAGCAATAGCCCCTTCATATTTCCAGTAAACTAAAACAGTGTCAATTAATGAATAAGATAGTTCATGACTCAAGTCACTAGTACCTCAGTCCGTCCATCACGGATCATATTAAAAGCAGCAACCTCAACTATGTTAGCCAGCTCGGCACCAACCATTCCATCAGTCATAGTGGCAACAGCCATATAGTCCACATCATCAGCCATTGGCTTCGTCTGTGCATGAACATATAACAAGGAAATGAATTGTATAGAAAAATAAAAGCTAGCAACTAACTTTAAATTTTTAAAGGAATATTCCAAGATGAGAACTACTGTAATGCCATTAAAGCAAAATTATATGTCTGCATGTAGATACCTGCAGAATTTCCATGTGACCTATAACTCCAGGTTTGGGAATAAAGAATTTTTTATCAAACCGTCCAGGTCTCACAAGTGCAGGATCTAGAATGTCCGGTCTATTTGTGGACGCAATAGTGATAACATTCCCTCTTCCTTCAAAACCATCCAAGCATACAAGAAGCTTTAGCACCACAACATTGAAAATATTTTTTAACACATTAAAATAGGAAAAGAATTTTATATTCACAAAAAAAATTATTAAAATATGTAAAGGAAAAATAGGTCCCAACTCCCAACAAAACTGATTTAGGGTTGCATCACGTTCTTGTCCACCAGAACCCTTGATTAAACCACACTCCCTTCCAACAGCATCCAACTCATGAATAAATACAACTGATTGGGCCTAAAAAAAATCTAATGTGATGGCATGTTGCACTGAAGGTCAAGAAAGTAGTTCAGAAGCAGCATAGAGAAAAGTGAATTAAAGGTGATACTTTAACAAATCCATGATCATGCAAGACTGTTAAAAGCACTAACTTGATTATACACATAAATTTACCTATATAAGAGAAACTCAATCCATACAAGGAGAAGGAAAAGAGGACATAAACCAACTAAAGACAACACTTACATTTTCCTTGGCTTCCTGATAAAGTGCTTGGACATGGGATGCACCAACCCTAACATATATTTCCACAAATTGAGAAGCAGAGATGGAGAAGAAGTTTACACCTGCTTCACCAGCCACAGCTTTTGCCAGTAAAGTTTTCCCCACCCCAGGAGGTCCACAAAGAGTATTCCTCCTGATTAAGAAACCAATACAACCTGAAATAAGTCAGGTATAAAGTGCTAAAAAAGTAAATGACTAGTGATCTAAAGCAAAATAAGCAATGTATACCAACAAAACTATAGAAGGATGGCAAGACTACTAAGCAAAAAGAAACAAATTTGTTATTACTATCATGTTTTACCAGCCATACACAGCCACAAAAAAAAGTCGAAACTGGATAAGGAGGAAAAAGTTCAATGAAACCAGAAAATGAAAGGCATTAGAAACATTTTATGAATCTGCATTCTCCTAAAACAAACAACCAGGTTACAAGCATGCGTTACTCGTAACAAAAAACCAACCACATAGATGGGACATAAAATAAGAAAAGATAGAAGTAGAAGAAAGTTTCACTCTGTGACCAAAAATGGGAAAAAGAAAGACACAAGTACCTCTTCTGAACATGAATACGCAAGTATAACGAAACAGAGACGATTCATCAGATATTTGGTTAACTAAATAAATAACCACTTCAGGAGTTGGCTTAAGAACTGAATAAGCTTTCGTTCTGATATCATAGATAGAATGCTATGGTCCTTTGGACTTTGTATTCTTATCTTCATTAAGAGTTTCCTAAACATACGGTCAGGGGATTTACTGCAGTTTTAGTCAACCCCTATAAGTTTTACGTTCCCACAAGTTTTTCCTTAAATTGATTTGATTTTAGAGTTTGGTAGTAATCCCAAAGCAAAAAGGAAAAAAGAAAAAAACTGTTTCATCCCATAATAAGCACTTGTATCTGGGTTCTCAACTTGTAAGTTGTCATGCCAAAGACTAATGTAAACAGGACATATAGCAACATGTTTCCATGTAGATTTTGAGTTTAACTTCATTGCACAATTTCAAACTAAAAGAAAAAGAATTTTAAAATAATTTATTGAGGTTTAGAATATTTTGACCTGTTATTCTTACTCCTCTTCTTCCGTACATCTCCCCCTGTGTGAAAAACTTCACAATTTCCTCAAGCTCAAGCCGGATTTTGCCAAGTCCTGCAACATCTGAGAACTTCACATCCACACCTCTCTACAAATACATGCCCTTCAAAAGCATGCCCCTGACTTCATGAATTGCACAGTCATCTCCAAATAAGGATTCTGCTCACCTCCCACTTGCTTAGTTTCATCATCCTCACCCTCAATTCCTTCCATTTTCCTCGCCAACTCCCTCATCTTTCTTCTCTCCTCTGCCCCTGCCTCGGTCTTCTCAATCTTCAACCTATCCTCATAATCCTTCTTCAGCCTTCCGTAACTAAGCACCACTGACCTATTAAATATATAAAAAAAAAACACCAATCCAAGCGCAGTTGCAACATTTGAATCCTGTGCTAAACTTGCCCACATATTTGCCATACTTGGATAATTCCTCCTAGCATCCCGCAATGACTCCTCATACTTCCTCTTCCTAATTTCCTGCTTCATTCTCCTCTCCTCCTCCTTCTTCTGCACCTTTATCGCCTTTTCAATCATCTCTCTCTTCCCTCATCCTTGGCAACTCCTTTCTTTGCCTCTTAAACTCCTCCCTTTCTCTCCTTGTCACCAGAGCCCTTCTGGACTCCTTCTTTGGCTTAAACCATGACAACATAAAGGCAGGCACCCTCCACAAAAAATCCAAATATGGGGCAGGCACCTCAGGCCTATTAATTGGAGGTGTATATGCATTAACGCACAAAGAATCAATCTTTAACTCGTCCCATGAATCCCAAAATTTCCTACCACTATCTAAGGCAAAACAGTTCTTAACACTCTAGAATCCTCTAAAACTACTAAAAATGGCTCCGCCCTTTGCTTCAAACTCACACTGGGCGGTTTAATTAAATGCTTAAGCTTTCCCTCATGTTTTAAACTCAAAATTTCAGTATATGGAATCCTGTTTGTTACAATAGGAAGATCTTTTGACCATTGTTTCAGCTGCTCTGGGGTTAATGTTTCTTACATTATTTTCTGAGTTTTTTTTTTTTATCAGATACTTTAACTGCAGCAAGAGAACTTTTTTGAGGAAATAAAGTGGCGAGTATAGTAAGAGTAATAGGTAAAGCAATAAGATTGAATTGGGTTTTCTTGGTTTTATCATCACCATCGTCAGAACTATTGCTCTCAGAGCCATAAAATTGACAAGAAATTGAAGGGCAAGTGTTTGGGAAAAATGGGGTTTTGGATTCGGGTTTTAAAGATGGAAGTTTTGGGCAAAACGAAAAACCAAAAGAGAAATGATAAGCCATGAACAAAAAAAAAAAAAGTTAACAGAATTTTGATTGACGAGAACAAAAAAAAAAAGCATTTCAATGTTTTGAAAGATTGAAAGATAGAGACTTACATTGTGAAATGATACTGAGAGAGTGAATTTAAGTTTACTGAGCTTTCGATTCAGTCGACAATGAAGCCTAAGACAAAGCATCTTCTTTTCTTTGTCTTTAAAACTTCTGCAGATATAAAAATGTGTACGATTTCGGGTATATCAAATGCTCAAGGTCAGCTAACGTTAGTGGTAAACGACGCCGGTTAAAAGATTAAATAAACGCCGCATTTGAGTTTTTTTCTTTTCTCTTTTCTCATTAGTATTTTTTTACCTGAGCTCAAACTAAAAAAAATAATGACTACTAAAACTCGACTTTATTAAATTTAATTATTTAATTTATTTAAGAGATTCAAAACTCAACTTGATTTTCAGCTCAAATTATGTATATAATATTTAAAATAATAAAAATTCAAATTCGATCTAATTTATTATTTAAGTAATTTTAACTTAAAATCAATTTGATAAAAATATAATCAAATTTAAATATTTATCAAATTGAACTTAATATTTTATGAGTTACTCGACCTGTTTATGCCCTTAAACCGTATATCTATATAAGATACTTTTCCTTAGCTTATACCAATTTTTAAGGTAAATCAAATACGAAAAAGCAAAAAGTTTTAATAAAAAAACGGTTAGTATAAAATGGCTCAGCCACTCCTTTGCTAAAAAAAAAAAAAAAAAAGTTACAAATGAAGATAAAAGTTAAAGTGTATTGATACTATTTTTATTATGTAAAATAACGAATTATAATAAAATAAAAATAGAGTAATACTATTTTTATTAAGTATTTGATGAGAAATAAATGTACAAATTACTACTTTTTATTACATGTAATAATAGATTAAGTAATTTCGTAATGGATAAATATAAAAGTAAGAAAATACAATAATATTATTTTTCATATCGCACGGAATAATAAATTAAGTTCTATTCACGCGCTTGCCCTTTAAAAGCCCCACTCCCCCCTCCACCTCCATCCAACTATTGAGACAAGGGAATCACAGAGCTTGACAGAGATCATGAAGAATGCCCACAAAACACCGCCGCCTCCTCCATCGCCACCACCACCATCTACACAGCCGATGCAGCTGACGGAGGCAAAGGTGGTGGCGATGAACGGATATAGCGAACCCCGTGTGGGGTTTGGGTTCAACGTAGGGGTAGGGTCCAAGACAGGAGGAATCTGGACGAGAGGGGACGTGGTGCTGCTGACGCTCAGGCTGTTGTGCATGGTTGCTTCGGTTACAGCCATGTCGTTCATGATCACAGCCCGTCAGGTTAGCACTGCTTCCTTCTATGGGTTCCAACTCCAGCTCCACTCCAAATGGTCTTTCTCTTACTCCTTCGAGTAAGTATAGCCTCGCTACTTGCTACTCCATTCTTCTTCCTAGATCGAAATTACTATAATGACTTTACTGTTTTGCGATGCTTGATATAGTTGATATAGTTGGTATTTGCATTTCACCTTTTTATTATTGGCCATGGTGTTGAATTTTTTGTTTGGTTGCTTAGAAAGTGAAAGAAAATGAAAGGAAAATTGAAGCTTACCTTCATCACCCAACGGGGTTGATGCTTAGTGTGTAAAGTTTGATCTTTCGGCTACTTCTGTCGTCTTTTGCATTTTCATTTGTTTTCTTTTGACTAAAAACCCTTAATTCCGGTTTTTATTGGTAATTTTTCACCGACATTTATGGGGTAAAGTGGGGAGTTTTGTTTGTTTGCTATTAACTATTGGGGTTGGTGCACCTTTGAGTTGCAAAAAAGTTTGGTGAACTCCCTGTCGACTCTCTAGTTTCCGTGGCCTTTGAATGAACAGAATAGACCCGTGAATGAACAGGGTTTATTTTGTCTTTGGTTAAGACTTGAGAGTAGCCCTGTAAGGCTGTAAACCTCCAGTTTCATCGTCGCAGCAGGGCATGGAATATGCTGAAGTTTGACACTTTGACTTGCATTACCGTTTACTGGTGTCTGTTAAATTCAGTGTTTATTTGCTGATGGAGCAGATATGTTGTTGGAGTTACAGCAGCTGCTGCAGCTTTCTCCTTGCTTCAGTTACTCGTTGGCGTGTCAAGGCTGTGGAGGAAGTCTCCAGTGATTCCCTCAAGGAATCAAGCTTGGCTTATTTTTGCTGGGGATCAGGTAATTAGTATGAGAATTTGCCAACGGTCGCATGTCTGTTCGGCAGAGCGTTGGACTTTTAATTCTAATGTCTCGATTACAACCAAAAAAAAAGTTAATATGAGAATTTGTCATCTGCCTTCCCACCCATGACTACTTGCATATTAACCTTTGTTTGTTTTGCATGCAGATATTGGCATATGCAATGATGAGTGCTGGATCAGCAGCATCAGGGGTAACCAACCTGAATCGAACAGGAATCCGACACACCGCTCTACCCAATTTTTGTAAGTCTTTGGATAGCTTCTGTGATCATGTTGCAGTCTCAATAGCCTTCACTTTCTTCACCTGTGTCCTGTGCGCTGCCTCTGCTGTTCAGGATGTAATTTGGCTCTCCAACCATTGAACTTCATCATCATCGTCTCCAGTATATGGCTTCTCCGGATTAAATGGCTTAATTAATTAGCTAGTATTATTTGTAGTGCAAGGCAGCCAGTGCTGTCTGTAAAGACGCCCTTGCTACGCTAAACGCGTCTAAGTTAATTCATCTTTCCAAGACCAACCTTCTTGTTAATTCCATGACTACAAGGCTATAGAAAATATATTTATGAACTTTTATATAATCAAAATGCATATAAAAATTATGAATTTGTCAAACCGCACTGTTATTAATAAAATATTAAATTTTTTATTTCAATAATTAAAATTTAAATACGATTAACCTTAAATATAAAAACGAAATTATGAATTTAGAAATAATGGAGTGGGTAGATTTCTAGACACCGTACGTAGCACCAAACAGGTGTGAGGACGTTGCAATTTTAGAAGTTGGAATCAATCATGCCCCAAGGATCGTACCATGAGAAAAATATATTTTATGCAACGCTCGTAAACATTTTAAGATATGTTTACCTACCTCCAGAGAAATACCGATATTACCAAAAAATTGTAACAAGTAAAAAACTATCTCATACGATGTTGAATGGATGGGATATCCTTACAAGCATTTCACGACAATTTATTTCGAAAGAGATCTTCCCCGTTATTAAGAAATAGTGGAGATATATCAATAATAGATTAATTTAATTAATTAAAGTTCATTTTTTTTACGAATAGATATTAAATTTAAAATTTAACGATGATTATTTATTGAGGTCATATTAAATACATGATCTGTAATTATTTATTTTAAGTTATCAGATACGATACATTTTATTTTAAGTTATCAGATACGATAATTTATGTATATTAAATTTTTTAAAAAAAAAATTAGAGATATAAATGTTTAATGCCACGACATAGGTGATTAATATATTTTAAAATTAATATTCAATTAAAATTTTTGAATGATTTTAAATTAAGTAAAAAGATATAAAATTTAATTAAATAATGATAAAAATAGTGTACATCTCCATTTTTTTTATAGTTGCCTTAATTCTTTAGCTTGAATTTCTGTCGCTACATACAAAGCAAAGCCAATAGCACCTAGGGTCGGTAAATTAACCCGAAATCATCAGATTTCGACCCGACCCAATCATTTAGGGTCGAGTTTTTTTCTTGAAAAAATAAATTTCGGGTCTGGTCAGGTTGGATTTAATTTTTGAAATGTCGATTTTGGGTCGGGGTCGGGTTTATATGAAACCTGACCCGACCCGAGATATTTACTAAAATACCCTTAATATATATGTAATTTTTTTAGGGTTTTTGAGTTTTGATTTCTTTCAGTGTTCTTGTTTTTCATCCGTCCCATCCTTCTCATCTCTTTTGATCTTTTCAAAATTTCTCATCCACCTATCCAATTCCAGCCATCCCATCTGTTTTCATCCATTTAACTTTCATCTATTTAGCTTTCTTCCTTCGAATCTTCTTCTATTTCAACAAAAAAAGCCATCAAGCCAGAAAGAGGAAAGTTAACAGGATAGAAAGACAGACGAGTCGACCAACCATTTGTACCTAGAAGCGATCGCTTCCTCTTCTGAGAAACAAAAATTGCAATAGCTTAGCCTTCCTTTAAGTAATCTCCATTAGTGCCAGGCTACCAGCAGACAGCAGTTTTGAGATAAGCCAAAGTTACCTCTTTTATAGATTTTATTTACAAGTATCAAATTTTTTTTTACCGATAAATCAATCTCTTTATTTTCATTTAAAACCTTAGGAATAATTTATGATGAATTAGAGAATCTAGAATTACCCTCTACTGTTAAGGTTATGTCGAGCGTATTGAGTTTTTATAGAGACTTGGATTAACTGTTGATGATATCAAATGAATACCCTTTAATGAATGGTTGTAGTGTGCATAAAAACATGATACATGTCTTAGGTTACTTGAAAAAAATTAGAATTTTTAAGTCGAAACTAGAAAATTTTGTTAGGAATTATCTGCAAGTGTTGCAGGTAAGTGTGGTTGTTGAGCTTACTTCTGTTATCAAGTGTCTTAGGGCGGTTGATGTGGACTGTCCATGACTGAACACGTGATAGGGAACATATAACAAGGACCTATAAGAAGAATGTATAGACAGAAAACTTACTAGTTCTTCTTGTAAGAACTTCTTTTCTTAAGTGCTTAACCTCTTCTTTTTTATCAGTTTTGAAATGGTAGCTTTAGCCTAAAAAGGAAATTACTTATGGTGTTACTGAAACTTTATAGTATGGCATGACAACAGATGTGAATTAATGATGGTAAAATATAATTCAACCTTATTTTTTAACTAACAGTATTAAGCATCATTCTTTGTCATATAAATAAACTTACATCGGCTAGCTCAGATTCAAGGTAATTTAGTTTTGATTTCATATCCTCCACATCTTTAGCGAACTTTATCTCCTCTATAGTCTTCGATGTTTTCACCTCACCATCCTTCAATGCATTGAACTCATTTTCCTTCACTGACTTCAATTCTTTAGTATCAAAAATATCCTCCACTGGCTTTGATTCTACATTTGACTCCTTACTATTGAAATTATTATTCTTTAGCTTCAGCTCACTGTTTTTTGCTAATTTTAAGTCCTTAACATTAACATCATTCTTCAGCTCAATGTCTTTTATTAATTTTAAGTCCTTAATATTAACATCATTCTTCAGCTTCAGCTCTGTATCCTTCATTGGCTTTAAATCCTCCGCATAGAACATATCTTCCTTAGCTTCCATTCCATATCCTTTATAGGCTTTATTTTATCATCTTTGACTCCTCAACCTTGGCAACCTGATGCAGTGAAGAGAACATTGATAATTTATTAATTTTCTTAGAGGTATTAGGTACAAAATTCATCAATGAACTTGAAGTATATGTTTAAATCTCATATTCAAATAAAAAATCTCTTCAAGTTCACTTTTAGATTAAAAAGAATATATATTTTCCTTTAAAAGATAATGCAATCACACATACAAATACATATATGTATAACTTGACTTTAAGGGCTAAAAAAATAGACAAAGTAGATCTAACCATCTGCAGTGGTGCAATAATCCCAACTTTATTCCAGTAACATGAAAACCCTATATTCTAGTAATATGAAATCAGTTCATCAATAATTTAGTGCAACCGAAATTTGACATAAGGCAAATAAAGTGGGTCAGCATTTCTCTGAATAAGATGAACTCTTACATTTATCAATTCTTTGAGAGCATGCTACAGCTCAAGGTTACTCATACACTCTTTAAGTATAAGAGTTTGGTTTAAGTTATCCAACATTGCAATTCATCCACCTTTTCATCCAACTCTTTTTTCAAATCATCAAGCTGTACAATCTGTGCTTAGTCACTGTTCATAGAGCTTGGAGCTTTCGACTGCAAGAGAGTTAATGCGACAATTTAACTTGTCACTAAGAAGAGGAAAAGAATAACTTTAATTAAACAAAAATACTATGATTTGATGCGAAATAGATCATGTTGCATAGAATTTCAAGTATTTTCATTCCAGAGTGAGCAAATAATACAGTAGCTTGATTTTTTATCAGTATATTTAATGTTAGCCTCTTTACCTTTTCCTTTTGAAGCTTTAGATTTTTTAGCTCTTGGTCATGTTGAGCCTCTTGCTTATCCAATCTTTAAACTGTCATCTCTCATTCCTCAAAGACTCGAATTCCTGATGTAGCTTTTCACTATTTTGGCTAGCTAACTTGCTCTTCCTCTGTTCTGATAACATATAAAATTACATATAAACAAGATGTCTTAAATATCCAACCAATATGTAAAGGAACCAATCGTTATGTATCTCATGACAAATCACATAAACACAATGGCAAGGCCAATAAGAAAACATGAAATATTAGATTAGTCACAAATTTTCCATCATTTTTCAAACGAAAAACTTTGCTTTTAACTTTCTTGTTCTTTTGTTCCACTTTCCTAAGAACACAAGTAATAGGATCTCCCTTTGTTGTTGTTGTTGTGGGTTTTTTATATGGGGAAGGGGGTTGGGATTCCAGAGAAAAAGTAATAGAAAAAGAAATTCTATGACCTAGAACTAGAAAATTTTAGTATACAAAGAAATGCTTGGATCATGCCAACTCGTAGAAAACAGTAAAAGACAGTTAATAGTTACTTCCAATAGGAGCAACTTTGCATTGATAACTAAATCATGCACCAGATCAGATTTAATAAGCCACTATATTTAATTGGTTAGAAAAGAAAGGAAAAATACATAAAAATTTTTCTTGATACTCTGAATTCTCGGTTTTAAAAAATTCACCTGATTTGGGGAAGCAGTTCAATTACTCATATTAAATGCTCCACTTCATATCAAAGAAACCTAATTTGATATTTATCCACTCCCCAAATAGTGACAGAAAAAATGAAACTAAGCCACATAGAAAACAAGCACCAGACTAATCAGCTCAAAACCAAAAAATAAAATTTTTTAAAAAAAAATTGAAGTTAGGTTCAGTTGACTACAAAGTTCATTGATTCCACCAAAAAATGCATTAACCTAAAAGTAAAAAATTTTATCTTTTTCTTTTTTAGTTTCTCAGTAACCAAACAAAGATAATAAATAATGTAAAAAAATTAAAAAGCTTTTTTTAAAGAATAAGTAAAAACAATACCTTTCTTTACGTTTTTTAATATTCTTCATATGAGCTCTATAATGATTCTCAATAAACTGTTTAGCCGTCGCCACATTTTCCATCGTCAAGCTTGACCCTAACACCTCCTATTCTCCACTATCTTCTTTCTCTATGCCCTCAATCTCTCTCTCTCTCTTTTATATGTATTTATTTATATATTTCTTTTTCTAAAAGCTCTCAACTATTCTGTCACTCCCTTGAAAAAAGCACCAAAGCTTTTTCATTTACTGCCAACAGCCAACAAAGAGATTATGAGGAGAAAACACAGCCATTTCACTGTCTTCCTCTTTATCCTCTACTTTCACCCTCTCGATCCTTCCCCTTTAGAAACCAATCAAAACCTTCCACATGGGTTTTACCAGCATGACGGTGTTATGATGCTTGTCTGGAGTGGGTTCATGGTGGAATTGGAAGGAGGGAAGGTCAGGTTTTTTTATATTTATTTTTATTAATTAAGCAATAAGTTTAAGGAGTGTTGTCAGCATAAGAGAGATGGAACTCTCATGCACGGTGTTGAACGTGTGAATAACACTTCGAAGGTGAAGTTTTGAGAGGTGTCGTTTTTCTAT